AATTTTCAAGAACTCAAAGGGTATTTAATAGTACCAGACAATATAGCGTAAGAACAATCGCAGGCGATCTTAACGCTATCCTATAATTGTTATATCATTTGACATTATTTCTCAGCATTGAATTAAGCGTACTAACCAGCCTGCTATTGGTGAATGGTCGTCACAGGTCTAGAGTACGTCGTTATAGGAAAACGATGTAAATTCCAAATAAGTTAAATAACTTTTGATGTCGTTTTTCTATATATTTCCAGATGAACAAAAACACTGATGTCCTTAATCCCATGGTACAGTCTTATAAAGCCACCTAGCGTGTGTATTAGATATCTGGTAGTGACACCGTACTCTTAAACATTGGAGTCACGTCAAGCACCACTTATGACGTTCTGTTTAATCTCTACGGATTTTATATCTAGAGTAATGCACTGAGTCATAACGTTGGATAAATCGATAATAGTTAACTAACTTATTATATGCTTAAAATTAAGATGAATATCACGACCCAAGTGTTACTTCTGGACTTTCGTTCAGAATATGCTAGTATTACGATCATAATACTGGACTATATTCGTTTTGTCGAACGATAAGTTTACCTCATAACGTTTTAATTTTCTACTGTTGTGTTGATTTTACTTTTTTTTTAATATGGGAGCTCCGGCTTTAAAAACAAGCTAATAACCGTATTTTTATATAAGCATTTTTTAGCTTTTTTACTGTACTAGCCAGTAGCCAATAACCCATGCTCTTTATTAAATTTTATAGAATTCCGCATTTCCACAATTATAATTGGGAAGTCTAAGGGCTTTTAACGCTAAAAAATCAGGTTTTTGATGCATCTGGTGGGCAGAGCACAATAGACCATTGTATATATTTGTATTTAACGACAAACAAACCTTTTGCAAATAGAAAATGGTTTTGTATAACTGTTTGGATTTTAATAATGATTTTTCAGATCAAATATTTCATGGCTAAGATGTTATATGGAATGAAAAATATAATGAGGGTATTTTCGACTGTATTTTACTAACATATTTTTAAAAGCTGGTAAAAGTACAAAAGTATTTCTTTTTTCACGCTTTATATTGGTTGACTCAGAAAATACCTACTCTATATTAGAAGTGTTGTATTAGATCGTCAAGAAATTAATGTCGCGTTTTGGAACACTTTCATTAACCACCCCCTAAAAAACGTAAATCACGTGTAATAGTTAAACTAACCACCTAAACGTCACGTTAGTGTAGCCTATATAATGTGTTAAGTTTAGTATACTCTAATCCCTTATAGTGATGACACACGATGAGACACACATTCGGCATGTAACGCTGTTTGAACACAAGAAGAGAAACAACGCCTCTGTAGCCACAAAGAATATCAAAGAAGTTTATCTAAAAGTTTTTAACTTCCTAAGTGTCCACGATGGTTCAGTAAATTTCGTTCAGGTGACTTTAGCCTTAAAAACTATGATGGCAGGGGCCGACATGTTGCAATTGATACTCTGAAGACTCTTGTTGAGTCTAACCCAAGGCAACACACTCGTGAAATGGCCCGGAAATTGCATGGTTCTCATGAAACAATACGTAAACATCTAAGGAATATGGGAAAACTACATAAATAAGGTGTTTGGGTGCCTCACGAATTCTCCGATGATCATCGTTTCCAATGTGCGAACGTTGCTTCGTCTCTTCTGGCACATAATGCACATGAACCATTTTTGGACAGAATTTTCACCGGTGATGAAAAATGGATTCTCTATGCGAATATTAAACGCCAAAAACAATGGTTCAATCCTAGACAAAAACCACTTCCGACCCCAAAACCTGGACTCCATTCACAGAAAGTGATGCTTTGCATTTGGTGGGACATCCAAGGAGTAATTCATTTCGAACTCCTCAATCCACAGCGAACTGTCAATGCAGAGATCTACACTGAGTGGTCACATGTAAATAGACACCTAATTTTTCGTCATTTAACTGATTTATGTTAACTAATTTGTGTTCACAGAGCACTATATAAATGAAAATGGTCCGCACACTAATTATCTTTTGTTACAACATGCCTAGAACTCAAGATTCTCTCGAATTGTCAGATTTTGTTAGAGGAAGGATAGTTGGTCGAGCAGATGGTGGAATAAGTCAGCGGCAAATTTCGCAGAATTTGGGAATCCCGCTTTCGACAGTCAACAGACTCATCGTGCAGTCCAGGAAACAACTAAACAGTGTCCCGGTCGTCCTGGTCCATCGGAGAGGACAAAAAGGGCTGTCAAGAGGAGCATCGAAATGGATCCCAGACTAACGACTGCAGAAGTGGCCAAAGTTGGTGGGATGAGCCCGAAATCTGTTCAACGGATTCTTCACAGATTGGGTTATCGTTGCAGAGCAACTAGACGGAAGCCCTTATTAAGACCTGCCAACATAGTCA